TTATTAGCTGACCCACTATCCCGATAAATTTAATAACAACTTTTTCCTGTAACAACATATAGATATTTACTTAGATGTACGTAACTTTTTCAGAAAGGTATCTTATTTTACGAGAGTTCAGCGTTCGCTCATTAATCATTATTTATAATTGATAGCAATTTACTACAATATTTTTATTTACATGCTGCATTATTGATGCACAAAAACTGACTAGAATATTAAAGGATTTTCTCGTGTAAAGTGTGTCAGTGTCTAATTTTTCATAAGAAAAAACTATAAACAAAAGCGGTAACAATTTAAAATTTGTAAACAGCTATAAAAATTGTTTTCGAATGACTCATAAGATGTAATAATAATTTGCAATAACATACATAAAATTCCTTTATTTTAAAGTTATAAATGGGACAGACTGGATACTAATTTTATCGTCGAATAAAATAGGTTTTCCGACATAAATTAACTGCTGAATAATTTTTGATAATTAATCTTACATATATGGCTCTAGAATTTAAAATAAAATTTACGAGAAGAAAAAGAAAACTATAAGAAATAATTATTTAGCATACGGTTTGAGAACAAAATGTGACTTAAATCTTTTATTATACCAGTTTGATTTCTAGTTTTCTTTCGAAATTCTTTTGCTGCATAGAAAAACAGGTTTTCTAAGATAAAAAAACAATTGCTAATTACTCGATGTGTATAGAACTCGAATTTGAAATATAAATTAGAGAAGGAAAAAGAGAACCAGAGGAATAAATTTCATCGCATATGGTTTTCGGTCAGTGTGGCTTTATAAATCTTTCGTTTATCACTTTTTGTACTTTCTTCTCAAAATTTTTTGGGCACAGAAAATGCCGCTTTCATATAGAGTACTCTCATCTTTTGGTAACCATGTTCTTTCTTCTTTTTCGAATAAAATTGATTTTTAGTTCCCGAGTGTAAGCTAAAGAAGTATTGTAATCGAGTCCATCGGGCGACTGGCTGCTTTCAAATTTTTTCGATGTTTTATGACCCCTAGAGTACGAAAAAATGGGTCGCCCGTTTCCGTCTGTTTGTTTGTCGATCTGTCCGCCGTCTGTGTTGGTTTTTGTTAGACAGATAATCTCCGAAACTACTAGATCGGTTGTTGTCAAATATTATTTTGGCATGTTTAATACATATGTACAACTCAGCGATGATATCACATCTTGCTCGGCTTTCTAAAATAATTGTAAAAGTTGTAAAAATTAGTCTAAAATTATTTAGACAGTACTTCCGTGGTCACTGAAGTACAATCAAAAATGATAAAATTTGATTTTGTGAATTTTATTTTTGTATGATAATCTCTATAAGCTAAAATCAAAACAGACATAGATTGGTAAACTAGAGGCAAAGAAACATGCTATGATTACTTTTCAAGTTTTGTGATGACATCATCAAGTTTTTAGCAAGAAACATTAGTTTGGACAGCTACAGGGTAATAGTAATAATTTCAGTACTGCATTCCCAAAATTGAGGAAAATGAGGTAATTTATTTTTTATTAAATTGATAAAATAATTGCTGTATTGATTAATTTTTTTGAGTCATGTATAAACAATTTTGAAAAATATTAATGTATGTACTGATAAACTACACGTGGAGAATCATAATATAATAGACAGGATTTATACATCAAAATTTTGGGTTGACATCAAGTTTTTGGAGGGGGAAAAGTGATACATTTGGATTAGCAATTTGTAATGCGTATGATAACCTTAAAATGTTTTTAAGATTTCAGAGCATCCAATTTTGCAATTTAGAATTTGTTTCTCAAAAATCTGGTGATCCAAAAAAAAGTAATGGTGAATTCATAGGCTACAGGCTACAGGTACATATCAAGATATGTTATTTTATTTTTACTTGGCAAAATTTTGAGGCACATCTTCAAATTGTTGGTGAGAATTATCACACAATTTTGGATAGCGTTTTAGCATCTACACTATATTCCTAAAATACATTAAAATTTCAAAAAATCAGTCAAGTGGTTTCGGAAATTATCTTAAATATAAAATTAATGGATTCTTATATCAAAAACATATTTCAGTGTACTCAAAAAAAATCAACCTATTCAGATGTTTCATAGTAAGTAACTCATTTTCTCTTATTTATCATTATATGTTGCTATTCGTTAAAAACCTGCTGAAAGAGTGGTACAAAGTATCGTTTTAACACACTTGTTAAGCAAAAAAGCCACAAATAAATCGTAGGAGTAATAAAGCGGTGAACAACAAGAACACATAGTTCTGCCCTGCATGGTTGTAGTGTTAATCAAAACATGATAAGTGATTGTTAACGTTATGCAACAAAATAATAATTGTTATTATGCTAAAATACATACATAACAATATTTCATAATCATAACACCAGTTTGTAGTTACACTAACGTTTTAGTTGTCTCTGACTTATGTAAACAAAAATTCATCTCTTAATTATTGTGATGTCAATTTTAGAATGCCGACTCACTTTTATAAATAATAAATACATGACCAGGCAAAGTGAGTTCCGTTTCCATCAATGTTAAGCAAGCGGTGTGTGTAAAAAGCAATTTTTTATATAATGGAGTCAATTATTAGTAAGTCGACATTGAAAAACCAGATTGAGAAACTATAACAGGTGCCTTAATTTCATAAGAATTACTTTATACAGGAATATAAATCTCAATGAAAACAAGATTTTGTGTATTATCTAGACAGACCTACACTCACTTCCATTATGTACAATCAACTATTCGTATAAAACAAGCAGTTAAAAACTATTATCTATATTACTTAACAAAAACAGCAATGTCAAACTTTAGGTCTTTGGTACATTTTTTCGTATATGACGATTTGAAAAAATAACTTAACTTTTATGGTACCACTACTTTTCGCAGTGTTGCGAACAGTTGGGAGTCTGAATGAGGCGTAACCGCAATACAATTATAGCAGATCCCGCAATAATTACGTGATGACGAGAAGGTTGCACTTTAAAAGGTTACTTACCATTATTTCAACAATACACGAACATTGTCGGAAGCAGAAATTCTTCTCATAATTCAAATAACTAAAGAAACGTCGGAAGGTCGAATGAATCCATGAAGTTAAATTTGAATGTTTAAAATTTTCCTGTATTGAAAGTAACTGTGTGGGCTCAGTTTGACAATAAAAAAAAAAAGCTTAAATTAAATATAAAATTTTTTTTTTAATAACTCATATACGTTTATTAAAGTTTAAAACGGTTAAAATACAATTTATAAAAATTAATTAGAGCAAAATTACGACCAACTAGACACTCATTTCTTCATTAGAGAAACTGCAGAACTTGGTCAACTCGTATGATTTATTCGGCATTGCCAATTAGCCGATTTCTACATATTAGAAATTATAAAAGCCCAGGTTCAGACGACTATTACTACTACTACTAGTGCTAAGGACATTAGAATGTACATTTGTTTGTGTGGTTTATTTGCTTTTATGTTATATTTCCTATATATGTACATATATTTTATAATGAAAAATTAATTTTGGTTGTAATGTAATTACACTAAATAAAGTGTAGTCAGTCACTGAATAACAACAAAAGAATATAAATGTGTTTCTTGATTAGTATGGCTCAACACATGTTGTCTCATGTTATGAACGATCGCTGGAGGAAACTTGATATGATTTGCGTCAGTGATTATTTCTTGCGTTTTCCTGAACTGTTTTATATCCTGTTACTCATCTTTTAAGTATAATTATAAAACACGATGTTTTAAAAAGGTTTGAATCTTGTTTAAAATTAAAAAAAAAATGGTTAACATAAAATATTACTCCAATATATAACCCGAATTTTTGTTAAAAATGGTTGTATGAATATCCTCGGTTAATTTTTAATGTTCAGTGTATGATCGTAACAGTTGCAAACTGGTATTCTCTGGAGAAGAGTTGAGGACAAAGCATCAAAGTTTCTACAATTTATTTTGCAGTCCTGATAAAGCCACAAGTAAGCAAATACTTCCATACTAATCGTTGTTTTGGTACAATTATACAGACCACACTATTCTGCAATTTAAAAAATATAAGTACAAGAAATAGTTACGATAGTTTTAAATTTGTGGTATGAAGTTAGTAATTAATTTACGTCATATGAAAAGATAATAAAATAAATAATAAATATGAAGTATATCAATAAATCTCAAATAAACATTACCATCTGCGTAACCGTAATAGTTTTGTCTTCGAAATATCGCACGGAAATCGAGACAAAAAAATACAAATTGAATTTTTAGAAAGTGCCCTAAGTTCTTTTTAAATACACTACGCTTTAAAAACTAAGGATAACTGTTTGATGCCAGTTTTATAGTTTACCCCTTTTTTTTCTCTGCAAATTTGATTCTTTTTTCCAGCTTTCGTTCTCCTTACCTCTGTCCGAAAGTATGCAGTTTTAATCCCCTTCTAAAGCTTACATTATAATTATACATGCATGTACTAAACACTTAGTAGTTAAAATTTGTGATAAAAAAATGTCGGTAAGGTCATAACTTTAACAATATTAGCGGAAAATATTTAATCTGTACTTAAAAGTAATAAATGGAATGTTGTGTCGAATAAAAATTACAATATGTCATTATTCATTATATTATGTTAGAAAATCGTTTACTTTATTTTTTACACCTGATCTACAATAAACAATTTACATAAGTCATATGTTCCTAGTGTTGGTTCTCCTCCTCTCAAAAAAGAAACATAACAAATTGCATTCATATTTGTTCGAATAATACGCAGCAATTACTATAAAGTCAGGAATGTAGTACATGAACCACCTGGGTGGCTAATAAATCGCTAATTATGGGTTAACAACTAAAATTGTTGCTGATTCATCTTTTGTCATTTTTTTTCTTATCAAAATATTTGTTAAAATTGTTAACAGTAATCACTTAAGCACATAGCAATGTGTAACTAACGTACATACATAAAGAAAAAAATCAGCGTCGTTTAGATTTAAGTTTCTAGTAAGTTTCTGCACCTGTTAGACTTCACACCTCTAAATATTACAAGTTTTACACTTAGGCAATAATGTAATCAAACAATTAAATTTAACTGTGCAACAAGTGGTGTTTATTCACTGCAAGAGTGGTTCGCACGTGGTTCAATGGGCATCAATGTATATCTGTTCTTAGTGGAGGAAGGCCGTAGAATCTACACACACACATGTGTTAATTATAGCACCGCAGACTTTATATAGTTAGGTCTTGCACTGCGTTGGCCCTGTAGCAGTCAAATCGGGTAATCGGTCTAGTCGAATTGCGGAAAATGAAAGTGCAGAAAGTCTAATTAAAATTCGGAAAACAAAAAAGTGCTGTAATGCTTTTAAAATTTTCTATTATCATGGTGCTGTGACCGTAGTGCTTTACAATGTCACTATCATATGACATCGAAACACAATAATGCGACCTTCCTAATAATTTACCTTTGCTTAACAGTTTCAACAACGTCAACATATTTCATCTTTATCTGACCGCAGTACTACACGTATGTACGTACGTACACAAACTAATTAATGTTTATTATGCTGTATTTTCTACTTTTTTTCACAAATAAACGTCAGTAGAGGAGTAACTACTCGTTCACGGTACATAAAACGATTGTGATTATAAATTGTGTTAACAAAATGAAAAAACTCTGTAATAAAATTTCCAAGCAACAGTGGAGAATTACCGTTCCGAGTATCAACACTTCGATCCTAAAAAAAGTTCCAAATAAAATTGCAGACGATATTAAAAGTAGTAGCAGAAATTCGGGTTCATATGACTTGGAGCTGGCCCAAAAAGAGTACAACAAAAGCAGGAGCTTGCCAAATAGTGTTTATGTGAATAGTGACAACAGTGATAGCGAAGATGAAAAATTCGAAGACGCCAGAACCTCCGATCGAAGTAACGTTGACACCAATTTATACACGAGCGAAGACGATTTCCTTGATACCGAACTTTACGCCGATGTGGTAGTGAGTGATAAAATGGAAGAATCTACCAGCAAAAATAAACCCAGCACATACCAATACGATGTGCCCAAAATTAGTTTTTCCTTTTTTTCCAAACGTGATTGTAAGAAATGCGAAAAAAACGAAGAAAACACATACGAAAACGATCAAACTGACAACAATATGACACAAAGGAGTGAAGTTACATTTAAGTTAGCTACCCCTGAGAGAGAAATCACTGAGGAACAATCCCCCGTGAAAAGTGAAAGTATTGAAATTTTGCCTGTAGTAGGAATAATCAAGTGTGGAAGTGACCCTAATCTAGTGATTCGGGATAAAAGTGAAAACGATGACGACGGTCTGTACAAGATCCCTCGACGACTTGCCAAGTGCAGACTTTCTCAATCCCTGAATGATTTTAAGTTAGAAGAGTTTCAAGCTTACACTTCTGATCATTCTAGTATTGAACATATGTCGTGTAGTCAAGTTTTAGCACAAAATCAAAAAAGTGTAGAACTTTCGAAAGGTCAAAGTTCAGAGAACATGGATTACTGTAAAACGCGAAGTAAACTACCTCTGAAGATTCGAAGACCAACGTTTCTGAAAAAACCGAAAAAGGCTGTTGACACCTGGAACAATTTTAGGCTTAAATTGAATAATATGATGATAGAACATGCTGCTCAACAGCGAGTAGGTGCCTATAGTGATAAAGAAAAAGTTGTGATCAATTTTGAAGAAGTTTACAAACATTCTAAAGATAAGTGTAAAAGTGCGTTTCGAAGTACCACAAGGTTATTTAAAAGAAATCAAGAGAGTTTTGACAGTGAGAATTCGAGTCAAATTGTAAAAAATGATGCATTTTTTGCAAGAATGCCTATTACGCCAAAGGATATCGAGTACAAGTTTAATTTTAATAGCAACGACAATTCTAACAACGACGCTACGAGCAGCAAAATCGTAGACAAATTTGAAAGTGTAGACGAAAAACCAGAGTTTGACTTTTCTTCAATCAGATCTGCATTTCGTCGAAGCAAGTTGGTACCAGAGGTGAGAACTGCACAGTTTCACTAATTTAAAAAAATTCTGATCTAAAATCGTGCGAACACTCTGTTTCCTTATTGTCTGAAGTATTTTTTAAATTGAATTAAGTGGAGCAGGAGAACAATAATTGTCGGCTTGAGTATAATGTAAGAGGTTAAATCAAAGGTGAGAGGTTCTTGCTCCTTAATCATCCCATGAAAATTATTTTATTTAGTTTTATTATCGATTGTAACAACCTTAGTCACACTGGCTATAAAATTTTTACGAGTTTAGACCTTTGAATATTTTACATTTTACTAAAATTTGTTGGAAACGTTATTTCATTGGTGAGATCACAAATATTGATCTAGGCGTAAGACACTATCTACAGTAGCATTATATTTGTTGCTAGCACACTAAACACACACCTGGAACATTTTTAAGTGAAGCCTGAAAATCCTTTAATAACAATAATAATAATATTAATACGAAATACATTTTATATCTTTACTAGATAACACAGAGCAATTTTTTTCTGATTCATTATATTCACCAGACAACACTGGCAACAGTAAATTTGAATATCACAAAAAATGAATATTTCTTCAAAGCTATTTTTCCATGTGCCATACATTCAACCTGTATAAATCGCATTATAAAAATATATAGTTTTATAATCATAATCTCATCGATCACAATTCTGATAAAATGCATACAACTGAATGATCACGTAAATAGTGTTACAGCCTCTTCGTAGAGTTTTTGGTATATCGGATAGGATAGAAAAATGTAATCAGAAAGCGTTGGTGATAATATAACCCTAAAAAATTATACTATTGAAGTGTCGGCATTTAATTGTAATAACTTTTTATTTATGACCTCAAATTAAGCGTGACAATAATAGCTTTTAAAATTAAAAAGCTGACAAAATACTGCAACATTATACAAAATATATATGTACTTAGTAAGTATTCCTCTATATTTCACGATATTTTTTGTCCATTACCCATTGCATTGCAACTTATTTAGTGAACATGTACACAACAAGTATTGTCAAAACGAATCTGATCACTTGTTATATTGTACACTACATTAATATACATAAATTTTACATATATAGATAGTAAATACATGTCCACTGTGTCGCAAATTATTTATTCTGTGGCCAAAATAATATTCAGGTGACCAGTTAAAATTCCGAGGCCTAACATTTTAAGAACTGATACAGATATTGAAATTCTGTAAACGCCGTTGTTTTTAGCTTGGCGGGGGAAGCTTAATGTAGTACACTGAAAATAAATATGACGCATAAATTGCGTCGGCGTCGCGACGTAAACTTATATTTTTTTAACGAATTTTGATAGACCTTTAAATTACGATTACAATGATATAAGATACTTTAATATTTGCATATTTCATTTTCACTTGCTGAAAAAAATACAATTTATAGCATAAAAAAATTAAAATTGAGTGAAATAAAGAACTACCACTATTTTACGACAGTGCGAACATATGGTAAAATAACTATTGTTGAAAAAAACATCGTTGATTATAAGTGTCTTATATCGTTGTAATCATAATTTAACGGTCTATCAAAATCCGCTAAAAGAAATATCAAAAATACAGGTTTGCATCCCGACGCCGATGCCATAGTTATTTGCAATGTACTAACTAAAGGTTTCGCCTTCAAGTTAGAAACAATGGCGTTTTCAGAATTTCAGTATTTCTATTTCTCAGGATAAAAGGTCACAGAGTTTTAGCTGGGACATCTACCTGTATATTAGATATAATTTTTACACAATGTGTATAAAATCTTACAATACACACAGATCTGGAATCGTCGTTTATAAATCTTAATAAAAACCGTGAATCTTGGAAACCGTCGTTTTAGCAGTCAGTATCATTATTAAGTTGATATGACAATTTCAAATTAAAATTTATTATTTTTTATATCTACTTGCTGTTACCAATTAGGTTCGAAGCGTGGCTGAAAGAACCATCGCGACTCTACTATTTCGAGAGTGAATTAATTATTATTATTATTATTATATTAGTACTTACACGTTCGTGTTATGCCTATATTCACTCGGTAGGTCCTTGAAAGAGGAACAGCTTTTTTTGCAAATTTATTTTTAAAAATAATTGGACTCTTATCTTTTAGACTATCCATCAGCCACATATATTTCTTGAAATGGAAGCAGAGGAAATGAAGTCGTAATTTTTATTTGAATATTTAATCATTAATTGTCTATTAATAGATTTACCGCCTTTAGAAGTTCTGCCCAGATATTTGTACAACTATGAAAAAAATAAATTTTTCGTGTTAATATTTGTTGAGCAAAATACAACTTTTTATGAGGCTTACTTTTTTACATCTCTTGTTTCCTGCCAGAGTAATAAAAATTATTTTTATTTATTAGGACTCGTAAAACTTCATTACTAGTGACAAAACCGACATTCAACGGTTATAATTATTTGCTTGCTTGTGTACATAGCGAGGAAGGTCTTTTACGCACCTTCGAAACGAAGTGCAATTCTCATAAAACTTTACAAATTTGGAATGTAACTAGCAAAACGAATAATCGGTTAAGTACACTTTTTAACAATTTTAGATTTTTCGAAATTTAATATCATATTATGTCAACTAATGGGTTAACATTTTTGTTTAAATATCCTATGTGACTACATTCTTTACAAAAAATCTATGTAAGTAGTTAAGCATTACAAGTGCTTAGAAGAGTTATAAATTTTCTGTTCTATTTGTTTTGAAAGTATGTATTACTTATTACAATGTGTGGATGATAATACATAGATAAATCAGGTTAACAGATGAAAACAGCAAAACGTTGCCAATGTAAATCGCAGCTCTCACATAAATCTATAGTTTTAAATGTTTTTTCTTTTGCGGTGCATTGTTTGAAGTTATTTATGGTAATAATAGTAATACATCTGCTGTAGTATTTTTTAAGATTATTTATTTAGAATTTGCAAGCGCTATTTCTTTTTACTTAAACCTTGTAACATAGTATCTCTGGAACTTTCTCCTTTAATTATCATTGTATTGTGTCATTAATGGAATCAATGCAGTTATCGTGACGCTCGAAGTAATTTACCTCGTCAAGGAAATAATTGCTTACTTTTTAATAGTGAAAACCTATTATTTCACACAATATATCGTTTGATGGCTGATTAAGAAATGAATTTAATATAGTACATTACACGACTAAATATTCAGATCGAGAATTTTGCATTTTTATCATATACTCGTATGTATCTAACATTTAGAAATTTCTGATAAAAAAATTAAAATAAATAACTGAACTTCACATTAATAAAGTTTTTAACATACTGCTACCAGAAGTTAAAACTTAGTGTCGGTTAATTAATCTATATTATTTTAAAAAATTCAAGTTATGAATTTCGTACCAAATATTTTTGCGACAGACCAAAACGTCATGCATAGGGACTTCCGCATAGCGGAACTAGATTTAAAATACCAAGACTGTGTCCGGTCATTCACACATAAACCACAGTACTGTACTTAATAATAATAATATTAACAATGACTACCAGCGCATGGATGCACTTTTCTTCACTGGCAAGTTTTCGCGTCCATATATGCAGGTATATGTAAAAAGGAAATGGATCTGTTCTGTATGCGCGTCATATTTTAAAGCTTGTTCATCTCTTCACAGTGCATATTGTTTTACTACATATGTGGACAGCATGTTTGTGAAAATAATTTCATTTACAAAAAAATACTATTAAATTGTTAAATATCAGACAATTATGTTCAACAATTCGACTATAAGTAAAAATAGAACACTTATTACGTCGAATTCATCATCGTTTAATTAACAAGAAGGTATAAAAATAGGACATGTTGAAAAATGGAACAGTAACATCTGACTCTGCATTTAATTTGGATAACTTGTCAAAAAGGTCGACTACATCTGCACAGAATATGATTTTTTTCGGCAGTGAGAAAAATAAGTTGCACGGCTGTATGGCTGTATATGGATTTTCCAGTTTACTTTGTGAACTAAACTGGGAGGAATTATATGGAGATAGATATGTATAAGTAGAATTTAATAGATGTCTGACTTTCTCATAAAGAGTGCATTCATAGCTTACAGTAAAACAAATACCATCACACGAATACAATACATATTGAAGTTTCTGCATCCTTGTAGTTTAATGGCACAGTTTTTTTTATTGATGAAATTAAAAATTAATCTTTCAGACATAATATCATTATAATTAGGTACCTACCTACTACACATTATTAAAATAGTTAAATCACTAATTAAGTAACACAAAAAATTAACTTTTTATTGTTTGTTGTAATTAAGATATTAATGTATATTTTTTATTCACCTATTTTATTTCAGGGTCAAAATGGGTTCGAAGACCTCAGAAGATATGTTAAACAAGGAGGCGATTTTTGCAAGGAACTTGCGACAATACTTCAAGAAAGGTAATTAATTTATATCTAAAATTTTTGTATATCAATAAAATTGGAAACAAGTTGTAAAATATAATTTGATGTTATAGTAAAATTTCAATGTTTTTAAATGCGACTATTACATAAATCTACTTTTTTGGACACACGGAACCGAAACTAGGTATGCACTAGTTTTTTTTATTTACTCCGAAGGACGAAAGTGTCACTTTTCTTCAATCTCAAAATAAAATTTAATTTTGCAAACACTAAAATCAAAAATGTACCGTGGGATTTTTTTTAAATTTCTGCTTTAGTTAGCTATGATAGAAATTTAAAGAGTCACCCGATATAAAGTTGTTCACACCCGTGAAGTTCCACATAGTTCGCATACATTGCAGAGTGAAATTTCTAATGGGTTTATTTATGGAGATGGGAACCATATTCATTTTAAAGTGTACACTATAATATTAATCATAATGTAATTGCGTTCTCAGAATTTCAAGAAAATTAGATGGAATTGGTTGGTGGCAGTAGATACATACTATATAATAACACATGGTCTGCAGTCTCTGAGACAAACGAACAAAATGTCGAGATCAACAAGCGTTGCTCGAGATTAAAAAAAATATATGTACTAGTCTCTGAAACAGATTTGATATATATTACTATGGGTTCCATTCGACTCCGTTTTTAGAGACACGTTTTGTTACTTTTATGTAGTTTGTAGTGGAATTCATCTCTTGATGGGTGAAAATTCACAACGAATATAGCGTTTCTATTTGCTAGCAAACACGTTTCTTGAAACCGTTTTTACAGTATAGCTACTGTAAAATCGCAGCTTTAGCATTCGTCGAATCTTATGACTCGTTTTTGTTTCAGATTTGTTGTAATTGGATGAAGGTGTATGTGCATTTGTGATATTACTGACATAAGTTTTGTTATTTTATTTCGAGATACAGCCAGAGGTGTTGGTAGCAACAGCTTAGGTGGGGAGGGGGTAATCCAAACAGTTTTGCTAATTTTGCACAAAAAAATGCCAATCAATACGATGAAAAATATTTGCTACCTAAAGATGTTTACATTAATGACTTAATTAACGTTTGTCACAAGTTTTGTTTAAAAATATTAACACATTGTTGTTTTAGTATAGCTCAAGAATTAATGACTTTGTCAAGTTTAATTAAATCTTTCAAATCTTTTTTGACGGATAATAAACATTAGGTATTTTAAACGATCAAATTCCATTTTAGTATGTATTTGATTCTCTATAAACTTTAGTGATCTAACCCTTCTCTCATTCATGACAACCGAAAAATCTGCAGTTAGTACAAACTAGCAAAAGAAACATGCATTTTTTAAAAGAGCTTAAAGTTTAACTACCACATTATGTCTTTCAATGACTTACCTTTGTTGCAGTTGTGATACAGTATTTCCAAATCTCATTACAGTATGCCAACATCATGTCTTTTTGTGCAGTTAGAATAAAGATTTCAAGTTTAAAGATATTTTAAAAAGGAAAAAAAGGGTTCTCAAGTCTCAAAACACTGTAAAACCAGCGACAAACTGCATTCACGCAATGGCTACACTTGATTTGTCAAAATTTGGTGTACATTTAAGTGTCAAAACAGTATGACACAAGTGACAGACACAATGTGAATTTGATATAACATTTCGCCTTTGTCTATAGAATTAATCAACTTTTTCCACTCGTTGACAATTAAACTGGTGTTTTGTAATTCATAACGTGAAAGTGTCACAACAAACACACACACAAATCTAAAATGAACTCTTTGTAATTTAATTTTACATAAATTTTATAATTAGAGTTCAGACGTTTTAGATTTGTTTACGTTTAAATTAATATAAAATCTCTTAACAGCTTCAATTTGATCATCGTCTCTTCTTCCTTAGTATCAATATTTAGTTTCTGAAACTTTTCTCGTCGCAGCTATATTCAATCTTGGCGTTTCTGATTCTTCAGTTAACAACTTGATTTTAAGTATATTTTATGCACCATGATCAACAGTAACTGTTTCAGTTGGTATCAACTCATTTTGCTTGAAATTGGTAAAACTGTCACCCCACCTTACTTCCTGTTGTCAAAATTGACCAGCTCGATAGTGACACTTAAATTGAATGAAAATTTGTTTATTGTTAAAATTTGACACTAATATAACCTAACTTTTTGAACGTTTAAAAGTAACATAGCGCCATTTGAAGCAGGTTAAGCAATAGCAGCGCAAGAAAGATTTCCCAGAATTCGGTAATTCCACTGCCAACTCAAAAAGTATTTATTGATCGGGCTGTAATTTTCATGATAAAAAATTTTCCACATTACTGTTTTTCCGTAAAAGATATTTTTTTAATATAGACAATCGGATGATTTACCAACTATTTATTGTTTTGCCAACTTTTTTGGGGGAGACGCTACCCTCCCATACCCGCCATAACCACTCGCCTGCAAAAAATGGTTAATATGTTTAACAATGCTGAAACACAAAAATATTGTCATTTTTATTAACAATCTTTGCAGTAAAAGCTGTTTGCCTATTAATCAATACTTATTAGACGATGTTAATACAATATAAATGAAATTATTAATGTTTTCACAGTTTTTAATTAATTTTCAAAGTGAAGGCAACTTTAAAAGTAGAAATTACTTTTAAAAACTTCCGCAAAACAGAAAAAGTGAATGACCTGAAAATTCAACTTCAAAAGTGTTACATTATGAAAATGTTTTTTTTTTATACATTTGAATTTCATTACATGAACTTACTTTTGAATAAATTGCAAACATAGTGTCAAATTAACATTACTGTTTCCACTCAGTTGGATAAAACAGTGTTTTCAACATAAATAACAAATAAATTTCGTCAAAAAATAAGGGACGTGTACCGATTGTTCATATAGGTTGAAATATTTCTTCATATTTGTTGTTGATAACTCTTAAAACAAATATGTACACATTATTGTAAATTCAATTGTGGATATGTGAAGTGAAAAATGTATTTAAAATACTGGCAGTTGCTGCACGTACTAAGTATTTTTAAGACGATGTAAAATTAAAATTTATTTAATTTACTTTTTAATTGTTAAATCTTGTAATTCACATTCGTATGCAGATAATTTTCTTAACGTATCAAATATTAAAGCAAATTGCCTTTAAGTTTATGTCATTTATTTGTCGTGTATTTTTGTTGGAATTTGGTTAAGTCGTTTCCAGATTTAATGATTATACACATTTTAATACAACAATAATTTCTTGTTTGGTTTTCAATATTGGGCAGATTTAATTGCGACATCTTTAAACTGAAAATTCTATTACCCATCAAACGAGAAATCTAAACTGTTTTAGAACCACTTATATAGATTCATTTTAATTTCAATTTGCACATTTCTTGCAAATAAAAACCGTAATTTTAAAATGATTTGAAAATCAATCATTAACCGCCAGTAAAGTAATGACACTCAGAAGAATTTTTAAAAATATGTAATGTTATAAGTTATATTAACAAATCATGTTTTTTTTTTCATTGTGGAAAGAAACTAATCAACTATACAAAAAAAATAATTTCAATAATTTAGACAGTTGTCCCTTTGCTCTCAGAATCGTTGCCTAATACAAGGTCTACAAAATTGAAAATGCAACACAAATACATTTTCAGAGGCATCATCGATCTTGACAAAAAATAAATAATAAGCTTTAGGGTTTTTTTTATTAAAAAGTATCTTATTTCAGTTAAATGTGTTATTTTTACAATTATTATTAACTTTTATTTAATTTTTCTATCAATGTACAGGTGGTGAAGACAAAGACAACATTTCCTAGGCCAAAATTAATTTCACATTTTCAAATTGTATTATTTTTTTTTTTTGTGCAAATAATAAAAGGCATATGTTACATCACTGAATATAGAAAAATGCTTTGTTCAAAAATATTAAATTTGACCCTTCGTGGTATTTAAAAATTCAAGTTGGCCTTGTATCTCCAAAACAAATGTTGATGGAAATTTCAATAACATTTTAGAGGATAGAGTTTAAATAGTTTTACCTGTATATCAAATTTCAATGAGTTCTGACAAACCGTTCTGGAAATATTTAGCTATATATCCATCCCTTTTAGCAACGCTGTTTGATGAATGATGAATATAGTGTTAACACTGTTAACAAACCTTTTCTTCTATTTTTACAGTCCTTCGAAGTAGGGCGCGAAGCCAGTCTTGATTCTTTTAAAAATCGTGTCATATGGAGCTCTTCGGTTTGGAAATCGCATTTTTTCGTTGTTCGATGACAAATAAATTATAAATGAGAAATACATTTTGCAAGCAAAAATATCATAGTATATATTATGTTTACAATTTTTAAACAAAATATATCTCATTAAAAGTGAAATATGTTCTGCTGGTTGGATTTAAAGTTTGTAAGGGTCGGTATTTCGTGTGAAACACCTTGTATATCACGGTTTTTTTATCTCATACATCTTTATAAAAATCTTCGACTTGAAATCTTTATAAAAAATATGGATGGATAATAAACCATGCATGTAGGTGCATATTATTTTACACACGCATATTCGAATTTTCTTAAAGTACCTAGGTGTCAAATTTTAGAGCAAGTGATTCAATCGTTTCTGAAATAAATTGCAACATTTTGTTGATGTTAAATTTTTTCCAAAAATCTGCACATGCGGGGTTAAAAATTTTGTTTTTAGTATCGTATATTATTGGTAGTTAATGCCTAGTAAGATACTTAGTTTAGTGTACTACATATCTTTCCATATTCATTGTTCATCTGGAAGACTCGGATATTAGACCGCCTTCACCACTTAACAATCATGAACACAAACGTGTATAATTTTATACGAAGAATCTTAGAAGTCCCATTTACCGCTATTTTTTACACAAATGCAAATAGCGTTTCTCTTTTTTGATGCTTCAAGGACAAAAAGGCCTCTGCCTATTTTTTCTTCTTATATAAATAGCAAATACATACCAGACAACGGTAAAATCAAAACGAAAAACTGGCAGTTTCGTATTCTATGAACTGTAAGTCGCCAAAAAGGTTGTACATGTATATTAAACAGTTCTCAAAATGACTTGTTTACAATAATTTCCATAGTAATTGTGGTCGGGAAAAACTAAACATGTGCTGACGCACAATAACCTGAAGCTATGAATTTTATTTTGCGGTACCATTATTAACAATTATATCTATATAAGTAAAATCAACGATTCATTTTATTTTCAACTTTTTGTATAATAGTTACACCATCTTAAAAGTGAATGGTGGAACCTACATAACCTGAGTTAGTAGATATATTTATTGCATTGTTTGGTTCACGACTTTCAATATACATTTTTTTTTATGTTGCAAGTAAAGTCTCTTGCGTTTTAGGAATAAAATTTTCAGGAAAACTTCAATTTTTGACAGGTTAACATGAATAAATACACATGCAATAAATTTAAACCTATTCCAAAATTTCAACTGGTTGGTTGTTTGCAAAATTACTTCAGTTAGTTAACTAGAGCATTTAAATCTCTAATAAATATTGTTGTTGCTGTTAGCAAAGTTATCCAATTTTAATTCGTATATGTATTAGAAAAGTAATTTATTTCAAATATAGATATTTTTCCGGAAACCCAAAAATTAATGTATTTACCACAGAATTAAAATGATTAATTACATTCGGAATAAATAAATAAAAACGGCTTATACAAGCTTCCAGAAATTCTCGAAAAAGAATAGTGTTGCTATCAGCATATGTAAGTAACAAAATTTATATATTTATCTCTCACAAAATCATGATCTCTGCACAAAAGTTCACTTAAAAAAAACAAGCTTAATAAGCTACTTTTTGCATGTAGTTTAATAATTCACTTCTACATTTTACACTTTTATTTTTATTTTAAATTAACATTTTTAGTAAAACATTAAAATTTTTTATGTAATAACATTAATACAGAATAATAATCATTAGTTTTGTCTTAAAATATACGCAATCTATCATATGTATTAACTTCAGTGAATGCTTTTACTGTAGTTACAAAAAAACCGAAATAAACTGAATAGGGCAAAAAACTATGGACTCGGTCAAATATTTGATTTGTAAAAAAAGCTGGTAAAATTTAAGACAGTGTAAGAAGTACTATCTAGACTCTTTACACCAATTTTTTACTAGTTTATGTGCACGCTGTTCTCTTGGTATGTTACGCATATATTCTGCATTAGTAATTTTTGCAATATTTTATTTTAGAATACATAATTAACGCGACATTGTAATGTTTGATTTATTTTGTCTGACTAAAAAATTCTTTTTTTGTTAGTACCGTACTAACTTTGTTTTTTTTTAAGTTTCTGAGCACTATCATACACTTTAAAACAAATGCAAAGGTGATAATTACTTTTCTAAAACACAAATGACGATTCAAATTATAATATATTTTTTTAAGAAGAAAGTGTCATCTTTGCGTGCTCGCTTTCTCACTCTTTTTTTAACGAAAACAAGAAGTATAACATCTGGCGTTTCTGTTTCTTATTCACATACTTTCTCACTGATTGCGAACTAATTCCTACAATTTTCTATCTGTGTTCAAGAGTATGTCGCATAACTCTTAACAGTTTTTGTTATCTAACGAACCTATTCTGTGCTACTGTGGAAAGTGTTATCTTTACTAGTCGTCAAGGTTCTTGTAAAAAATTACTTATAAATACGACAACTTAATTTCAATATACAATCCCACCTCTCTTGTTGCATGTTTATTCAATAAGATTTAGAATCACATTTTTCATGAAATATTTAAGTTCAAGTTCTTTTGCGTAGGTTCCTTTATAAGGTCCAACACTCTAGATTAGGAAAATGGTATGTCTACCTACGTGCAAAACAAAAATGTAAGATGATGACTAAGACACAACGAAACAGATCTTAAAAGATTTTTGCGACTTTCAAAATTAACAACTATATCCAATATATTTACATAATTACGAAGACAAGCAGTAACAGTAATCCTCTAATTTAAACATTTATAATATGTATTACATATATGTATCATGCGTCAATATAATGTTATGTAAATATATTACTTTATTTCGAAATAAACAAATTAGAATTGATTTACATATGTGTTTTTTCTTTATTTAGAGCTGAAGCCGAAGCCCAGTACGCGAAAAACTTGTCGAAACTCAGCTTGAAATTGTCAAGGGCGTGTCGTGATGGAGTCGGTGGTGTAAACGAAGCATGGAAAGCAGTTGCTGCAGAATTAGAAGCTAGGGCGGAAATTCACAGACTAATGGGTCAAGCCCTTTTAGAGGAAACAGCAAAACCTCTTCGCAATTTAACCGAAAATCAACATAGATCAAGAAAACAATGCGAAACCACTGTGGACAAAGCTGCAAAATCTTTAGCCGAATGGCGAACAGCAGAAGCCAAAAGCAAAAAACAAAGCCATACATGTGCCAGAGATAATGAGAAATTACAAGATGCAGCTATTTTGGATACTACTCGTTCTGGAAAATTGACGTAAGTTAGATTACAATGTTACTGTGGCAATTTTAGTTTTCTGTTTATTCATTACAGATTATCCAGAAGCACTAGTTTAATACAGCTGGCACATATACACAATAAAAATGGCGCAGAAAAGGAAAATACCAAGGTGAGATACGTTATTTATTGGACGCTAGTTAACCTTTTTGTTTCCAGTTGGAAGGAAAGAAACGAAAAGCCGAAGATGCTGTGAAGAAGGCTGATATTGAATACTACACACTTTGCGTTCGCGCAGAGAGAGCAAGGTGATTGTGGTAGGTAAAATAATTTCTCTATTTATAAATCATAATTTCCTTCAGACTGGAATGGGAATCTGCTGTTCAGCGAGGCGTAAATACTTTTCAATCTTTGGAAGAGGAAAGATTAAGCAATTTAAAAACTATTTTAACGTCATACCTTCATCATGGAGCCGATCTTGGTCCTAGACTTATCGAAGTAAATTTCTTTAAAAAGAGAGATGACAATCTGATGATGTTTAATTTTTAGGTCACCGAAAGACTCAAAGGTCCGGTCTTGCAGGGTGAACCGGGTAAAGATTTGAGCACGTTTGTTAATCTAAGACAGTCTTCTCAGCAAGTATCTGAACAACTTCTTCCAGACTTCTATTGCGAACACATTACATTAGCAATGAATAGGGAACGTCGAAAACAAGTATGTTGCAGTTTTTACCTATTTTAAAGTTTTTGTTTCGTGAAAACGACCTTGAACTTTTTCAGGCGTTGGTTAAATTATTACATTTAATCCGACAAGATATAGAAAGAGAAAGGAAGTCAAAAAATGGCCTAGAAAATTTATCGAAGGCAATTAAACAAACTCCGAATTTTGGTGCAGAAGATTCACAGCAGAGTGTCAGTGAAAAGTTATATCACGTAAGTTACCTTTGGTTGCAACGAAGTCAAATTTAAACTGCATTTCTTAAAACTTGTTATCACGAATTGTTGCGAAACGGTAAAAAGAACAACGAAAAAAAGTTTACAAAAAAGTAGTCCTTGCCAAATAGCAACTTTTCTCTGAAAGACTAATAAGTTTTTTTCAGATGAAATCGATGTTGACATATCTCGAAGGAGCGAGATATAAACTACATAATGCATTAGCGGAACTAGATAGTAAACCAAGATCTGGGCATCCATTGGCGGCTCACATTACCATAACTAGGGACAAATCTGGTTTACAACAAAGTATACTTAAGGTATTGTCTTAAATTTTCGTACATTCATAAATTATTGTCTTTTTGGATTATGTTAGGTGCCCCAGTGGTTAAGGGAAGAGTGGTTTGATTCCGAAAAAAGTCCTGTGAGTGAAAAATCCGTTAAATCCAATAAGTCTGATAATTCAGATCCCCACAACAATGACATAGCTGATCCAGATTGGACGGATAGGGGAGCCGCCGACGGAAACTCCAATCAACCTGATTCAGACTTTGGTTCGTTGCGACACATAAAAAGCGACTAAAGTTAATTAACATTCATTTCCTCGTTTCTAGACGAATTTTCGTCACAGTGTAGTAGTGCAGACAACATTTGCAATCCTGAAGAAAATCCAGTGCAACCCATAGCGCAATGCAAGGCATTGTACGCCTATACTCCAAATTTAACAGACGAATTAGCTTTACAACCAGGGGATCTTCTGTCGGTTTATCGCCAACAGGATGACGGTTGGTGGCTGGGGGAATGTAGAGGAAATGTTGGTATTTTTCCTGCAACTTACGTCGAGTTGATCAATTCAAATTAAAGACTGGATATAACTATTCCAAACTTATATTTGTAAGGAACACGTAATGAGCAATATCCATTTTTGGAATACACTTTGTACAAATAATTTATAATTGTGTTGTAAAAATTATAACAAGTACTTTTGACGTACTTTACAGTTTTGTATCAAGTTTGTATTTTTCTTTTTGTAGTTTGCCTGTAATATACATTAATTGTTAACAGTGGTTTATTACTAATACGAGTTAACAATAAAATAAAATAAAACACACCATGTAGATAATTATTTTAATAATATTACTTTCGTTGCTGATGCTAATAATAATTAATTCAAAGGATTATGTTAGGTGCCCCAGTGGTTAAGGGAAGAGTGGTTTGATTCCGAAAAAAGTCCTGTGAGTGAAAAAATCCAGCACATAATCTCTTCTTGCAGCATCCTAGCACAAACTGATTACAAAGCTAGACACGACAACGCAGCCAAAATCATTCACAAAGAATTAGCAACACTTATGAACTTAATCGAAGATACGACACCCTATTACACTTACATTCCATCTCCATTCCTTGAAAATAACAAATACAAATTATACTGGGATCGCACAATACTTACAGACTTAAACATTACAGCTAACAGACCAGACATCATACTTATCAAAAAACACACGAACGAAGCCATTCTCATTGACATTGCTATTCCTAACACAAACAACATTATTCAAACATACGACACCAAGATTTCAAAATATCTACAATTATCGATAGAAATGAAATCCATGTTGAATCTTAAAAAAATTTCAATTCTACCCCTAGTTATCTCTAATGTAGGTGTAGTTCCAAATAGCTTAGTTGAGAATTTAAAGTCTTTGCATTTGAATGATTCAATAATTGTCAAAATTCAAAAAGCTGTTTTGTTAGGAACATGTCATATTGTTCGTAAGTTTCTTGAACAGTCTGATCATGTCAGTCAGATTAGATTAGCACCAGTAGGTCAGAGTAGTGTAGGTCACTTTTCATGTGATGCGCGGATAAATGGTCGGTAGTTAGGCTAGACTTTTGGGGATGGGGTGAGATTAGAGAATAATAGCAGACTAATTTGTATGCTGTAATTCTAGAATCTCGAAAGTTGTTCTGTTAATCTAATCAATGCATATCATTACTTGGTCTTAGTACCCGTAATGATAGAAGTCTTGCCTGAATGCCGGTCATTTCCGGGTCAGTGGTGGGTCTTATAATTCAAAGGAAGCAAATATTAGATCAATATGATTAAATAAATTTAATATAGGTAATTAAATTAGTGTGATGAACATAAGTAAAAGTCTACACTGCTGGCAATTGTCCTCGTTTTAAAGCGATGAGAAAAAGTGATGGTCTGTCAATAACGGTGAAAATGCGCTTAACCAGGCTTAAAATTAAATTAAGATCACACACTCGCCAATAAATAAATAATTCAAAACCCACAACAAAATTCATGAAGCCGGCCACAAAAACAAATCCTGTTGGCTTATCTTTCCAAACAATTTGGCTTATAGTTTGACAATTGAATGTAACGTCGTATACAGGGGTGGCTGCAAACCATGTTTGACACATGTAAGTGGGGTCTCTCGTGTGGTACACGCGACCTGGTCACGTGCCGGTTAAATCACAGAGCCAACGAACGGTTTGTCACATGCAGAACGAAAAACTGGGCTGAAATAGACACTCCCATAAGTGATGCAACTAATTCAAGTGTTTACCATCAAAAACAAGTACCTAGTCTGCTTCTGTAATGTACAGAATACTAATTGCTTAAACCTTGTTCTTATATAAAAGTACGTAACATGTACATCCCAACGGGACTGCTGTTATCATTTTTGAAAAACTAAAATATCTGTAGATAAGTACATGATTAAAATAGTTTTGAAACAATGCATAAAATATTAAAAAATAGAGCTGCTTTAAACTAAAAAATATGCCAGACAAGACTGCGGGCCATATTCATACAATAAATTAATTGAAATAGCCGTGACTGTGACAGCTATTAACAAATCACCATCACCACCAAAACGTGTACTCGAAGAGCCGTGAAATTATGCTTACGTTCGCTTATGTTGACACTTCCACACAATCGATGGCAATCTCCGCCCATTTCCCGGGCACAGAGGTCTGCACACGACGCTCCCTTTTCATAAATTTACGAGGCTGAATCGAAAAATCTAATGGGCAGGCAGTATATACACTCTTCAGATATTTGCAGTGTTTGCTAGATAATCTATTAATCCATCAAAAATGTATCGATTTAACGCAAAAATAGCTAAAAGTATATCACTTCTCACTTCTGAAGGGGGTACAACTATTTAGTTCTGGTTTTTACAGTTATTCTGTTATTATTATGTTTTCACAAAGGCAGAAAGTTTGAGAGACAAACAAAAGTGGTTCTCAACTTGTTGGTTTACTATTGTTAGTATACATTATTCTGTCTATCCTCAATGAAAACCTTTTTGTGAAACCTTTAGGCGAAACAGTAGAAACTAATCGCTCACGTATTGTTAAAATAAAAGATAAAATTGATAAACACATTGATTAAAAAACGTTCACAAAATTATTAGAAATACGTTAAGGAAAACCTATGCACTTCCATCAAAAATAATAGAAATCGCTTTTCTTTTGATCTATAAATCAATATAGATACACTAACCGGTTACATAATTAGTCTATGTTTATGGATTTTAACTAATAATAGACTTACTAAGTCTATAAATCATTTCCTGTGTCTTATTATTAAAAAAATAAGACTGAATTCACTCATTTTAGAAAAGAAAAACACAAGAATCTAAATATCCAGTAATAAGAATCATTAATGATAAATATATTATATAAAAAATAAGACTGAACATTTCTTATCAAGAACCTTTATCTCGGACAAATTTTGATATTAAATTTAATACATTTTTATTCAGAAACATTAATTCTTGACGTTTTGTGACAAACCTAGAAAGAAGTACAAACTGCACAAAGATACAAAAATATGTTTGTCCTTTTACGTTTTCTACATTAAAACATCTATAATATGAACACACCTCGTATCTGCATGTGGAGGGATGAAGTAACCCTTCATAAACGCTCCTAATTGGTAAGCCACACTCCCATAAGTACTGGCAATATGTTTAGTCCCTTTGTGCCGGCGGTTATCGCGGCCTTGTTCAAAAAATATTATAGCCCTAGTTTAGAATAGGGTTACGGAACCATGGGAACTTGCGGAAATGCTATCATTATTTCGATTGTTGATTATTTGTTTGCTCATGTACTTAAGTGGGACGATTACTGTCATCGCAGATGGGATTTGTTTCCGATAGGATCACAATCGAAATAATGTAATCAATGAAAGACATTTAAGAAAGCATAGATTTTAATAAGTTTATGTGTCCTTATAATAATTACATCGAAATTTTTGGCAAGTGCTTTTACAGCAACCGTTATATCATAGCATTCTAAACTTAAGAGTCTATAGTCCTAAAATCATTATGAAACTGATTTCAACAAATAAAGCTGAAACAAAAATTAATTAACTAGAACATTGGTTTTATCTTTGATTAAAATTAAAAAAAAACACAATGTCGCATACTTTTTACTTCCTGAGGGTAAACTGAGGAACTATAGTAATCGAATCCATCGGGCTACTTACCACTTTCATGTTTTCTCAACGTTTCATGACCCCTACAGTAGGAAAAAAGTAGTCTCCAGTTTCCGTCCGTCTGTCTGTACCTATCCATTTTTGTGAGACACGTAATCTCCGTATCTGCTGAACCGATTGTTCTCAAATTTTGTTTCTATGTTACAAAGATCATGTACATGGTTAAATGCTAGCAAAAATTTGGCTAATCATCCCCATTAACAATTTGATGACGTCATCTCAATGAACCATATTTTAAAATGAGTTGAATGTTGTGCAGAAATATACTCTTGTACTTGTAGTGTACGAATCCGCTTTCGTTTTTTTCACTAAAACGTTCAAATTTTCACAAAAACATTTGGAAGGTTGTAGGTTCAATGCCGAATTTGGCCCTTTACTTTTTTTTCTTGCATTGGTAATACGTTGTGACTACTTTTCTTTTGTGTTATGACTAATATGTTGATGACGTCATCGTCATCACAAATCTTTTATTGGTCAAATTAAAAACGAGTTACCTCATTTTCTTGAAAATGTGAAGAATACGCACGTCTTTATATATATAATTAATAATGATAAAATAAGAATTATAATATTCAGAATATTTTGTTCGATTGATAATTTTAATAATTTTCGTCCTGCTTTGAGAAGACAAACTAGATAAATGAAACTAATTTCTACGTGACATTCTTTCCATATATAAACATAAATATTAAATACATGAGCGTCAGATTGCTATTAACTAGTGCTGAAGGACAAGGGGTGTTATTTATGTTTCTGGTTTTTACTTTACAGCGGTTATCACAAAACGAAAATTATAAAAACAAATTTTATAATTTTTTTAAAGAGCTGGATTTGTCGAGTTATACTTTGGGCCTTCACTAATTTTTTATTGATCAAATTAAGTACCTCATTTTTTAGCTTTTCTTATACAGGCTCACTCAAAAAATTAACGAATCAGTAAATTTATTTTATTGAATAATTCGAAAATTGCAAATCTGAATACTTTGAAATCTTGCAGACGTTTTAAAGTTATTGTAAACATGGTAAATTGTTGATCAAAATCTATCTGTTTATTTCCCCCAAAAATTGAGGACCTCATCCCCAAATTTTGCCGAATAAATTCTACCCAAAATGTGCAAAATATGATGAGATATTTAGTTGTGATTTATCATTGCATTCATGTTTTTTAGATTTGTTTCAATAGGTGGCTCAAAAAGATTGATGAATGAGTCAATTTATTTTATTGATTAAATTAGAAACGGCTCACTCCATTTTCTCAGAAAATTTTGGGAATACAATATTGTTATTATTAGTATTACACTTCACCAATCCAAGTTGCTATACATGTCCTTGCAAAAATGTTGATGACGTCATCACAAAATTATGTAAAGAAAATACTCAACTCTGATATGCTGGACATGATCCACTGTACTTTAGGAGAGAAGGAATCTCAGTTAATGCCGACTGTGACATATCTGTAGGTAAGCGTCGCAAATGTTTTTCCCAAAGCCATGAACATCAAGAGTGGGGATGTTCTTTCCCTCTGTGAATCAGTCATGAAAATATTTCATCA